GAAAGAAAATAGGCATTTCTGAGGAAGAGGAGGTGAAATCTTAAAGATCCGTGGCCAGGGGAAGGGCACCTGGCTACCAAACACTTCCATTGTGTTTACCATTTCTGCAATACTCACTGAATGTCAGGTCCTGGAGATACAAGATAGGTGCTCCATGCTTACTGCCCTAGAGGACGTCATATGTAGTAGCTAGACAGATGAGTAACCAAACCACTAAAATAAAAAGCAGGGCTTCCCCAGTGGCACAGTGGTTAAGAATCCACCTACCAAGGCAGAGGACACGGGTTCGAGCCCTGGTCCGGGAAGATCCCACATGCTGCGGAGCAACTAAGCCCGTGTGCTACAACTACTGAGCCTGCGTGCCACAACTACTGAAGCCCGCGCACCTAAAGCCCGTGCACCGCAACAAGAGAAGCCTCCGCAATGAGAAGCCCGCGCATCGCAACGAAGAGTAGCCCCCGCTCACCGCAACTAGAGAAAGCCCGCACACAGCAATGAAGACCCAACGCAGCCAAAAATAAATAAATATTTTTTTTAAAAAAAGCAGTACATGCTATAATAAAGGTATGAATTACTTCAGAGGATGGAGTAATTAAAAATGACTAATAATATTAATAATATGCCTGGGGGTGTTAAGGCTTGGCAGAGAAAGTAATATTACAGCCAGGCTTGAAGGTAAGAATAATAAGAGTTAATAATTATTGGGACTTCCCTGGTGGTGCAGTGGTTAAGAATCCACCTGCCAGTGCAGGGGACACAGGTTCGAGCCCTGGTCCGGGAAGATCCCACATGCCACAGAGCAACTAAGCCCATGTGCCACAACTACTGAGCCCACACACCCAGAGCCCATGCTCCGCAACAAGAGAAGCCACCCAATGCAGCCAAAAATAAATAAGTAAAATTTAAGGTAATAATAATTATTATTATTATCAAACACTTACTCTGGCCAGGTATTGTGCACATTCATCATCACATTATCTCTTCTTTATAGCTACTATTTTTTTTATCAATATTACTGATGAAGAATAGAAGCTTAGAGACTTTAAATAACTAGGATTTTCCCTAATAAAGGGAAAGCGTATTCCAGGTAGAGAAAATATGAGCACAGGCCCAGAGGAGAGAAGGCACATGGACAAGTGAGGTGCCAATTATTTGGACAGTGCTTACCACTTTGCAAAACACTTCTAAAAATGCCACACTTAATCCTCAGAAAAACCCTGAGAGGTAGTAATTATCACCATTCTATGGATGCAGAAATAGGCTCAAAGAGGATATTTGCAGAGTGGTACATATCAAAGGTTGAACCTCTTTTTTCTGGATCTGAGGTAAGTGGTTTTCTGTTCATTGTCCCATCTCTAATGGACCTTGTACCTGAAAACAATGGTCCAATAATAAGTAAGGGACCCATTGAGGAGTCCTCTCACCCCATGGGCCCCCTATGGGCCTCTGCAGTCTGTAGCCATGGAGAAGCTATGAAGTAGTGTTTTTCTTTGCGTGAGGTTACCCAATGACTTTTGACCATCTTACTAAGTAAATAATACCCAAGAAAAATTCTAGAATCCTTAAAAAATGAATGAAATATATAGTTTGAATAGGCAATAGATGTACAGCACAACATTTAAAAGGTACAAGTGTGTTTGTGTGTGTGTATGTATATATATATATATATATATATATATATATATATGCCCTTTGCCCCATCTTGTCTGCAATCAAGAGGCAACGCTGTTACCAGTTTCTTGCATATCCTTTCAGAGATATTTAGGCATCTTTATTATAGAGTGGTAAAACGCTATACCAATAAAACATGAAATCTGTATAAAATATTGTATCAATTCATTTTGCTTCATGTTAAGTACCTAAGCTGTGACAGGCCCCATGCTGGATTCATAGGTAATACACGATCTAGAGTCTGAAGAACGGGGAGCAGGGGGGAGTAGGGGGTGGAAGCAACAGGTACCAAAGGACTGTAATTAGTACAAGGTACAATGTGATAAGTGTGAGAGAGAGTTCCAAGCTGTGACAGTATCACATAGTGGTCAGAACATTTTTTCTGGAGACAGATTTGGCTTGCTCTCACTGTGACCCATGTAAATGACTGAACCTCTGTAAGCCTCTCTTTTTCCATCTATCAGAACGGACTAATAATAGTACTTACTTCATAGGTTTGTTGAAAGGAATAAATGAGACATACAAAGCACTTGGCACGGGACTTGCCTGGTGGTGTAGTGGTTAAGTGGTTAAGAATCCACCTGCCAGGGACTTCCCTGGTGGCACAGTGGTTGGAAATCTGCCTGCCAGTGAAGGGGACACGGGTTCGAGCCCTGGTCCGGGAGGATTCCACATGCTGCGGATCAGCTAGGCCCTTGCACCACAACTGCTAAAGCCCACGCGCTCTAGGGCCTGCGTGCTGCAACTCCTGAGCCCGTGTGCTGCAACTGCTGAAGCCCGCACGTCTAGAGCCCATGCTCCACAACAAGAGAAGTCACTGTAATGAGAAGCCCGCGTACCACAATAAAGAGTGGCCCCTGCTGGCCGCAACTAGAGAAAGCCTGTGCACAGCAACGAAGACCCAGCACAGCCAAAAATAATTTTAAAAATAAGATAAAATTTTAAAAATAATAATAAAAAAAGAATCCGCCTGCCAATGCAGGGGACACAGGTTCAAGCCCTGGTCCGGGAAGATCCACATGCCGCAGAGCAACTAAGCTCATGTGCCACAACTACTGAGCCTGCGCTGTAGAGCCTGCGAGCCACAACTACTGAGCCTGTGTACCACAACTACTTAGGCCGTGCGGCTAGAGCCCGTACTCCGCAACAAGAGAAGCCACCACAATGAGAAGCCCGCGCACCGTAACGAAGAGCAGCCCCCGCCCGCCGCAACTGGAGAAAGCCCACGCACAGCAACGAAGACCCAACGGAGCCAAAAATTTAAAAAAAAAAAAAAAATCCATTTGTGTTAAAAAAAAAAAGCGCTTGGCACCTGTTAGGCACTCAATAAATGTTAACTAAAAATCCAGTATTTTGGCTCTCAATAAATGCTGGCTATTATCACTCAACTCCACAGTCCCTGGCTGGAAAATTCATAAAGCTGTGAAAACAGGACTTCTTTTTTAAGAAACAAATTTGGCGGCAAAACGTAATCTAAAGTGAGGCTAGGGGCTTACCTGGTGGCGCAGTGGTTGGGAATCCGCCTGCCAATGCAGGGGACACGGGTTCGAGCCTTGTTCCAGGAAGATCCCACATGCTGCGGAGCAACTAAGCCCGTGAGCCACAACCTACTGAGCCTGCGCTCTAGAGCCCACGTGCCACAACTACTGAGCCCTTGTGCCACAACTACTGAAGCCCGTGCGCCTAGAGCCTGCACTCGGCAACAAGAGAAGCCACCGCAATGAGAAGCCCGCGCACCGCAACGAAGAGTGGCCCCCGCTCGCTGCGACTAGACAAAGCCCACGAGCAGCGGCGAAGACCCAATGCAGCCAAAAATAAAAATAAATAGATACAACATTAAATAAATAAAAAAAGTTTAAAAATAAAGTGAGGCTATTCGTCTGATTTTGTATGAATATTCATAAGTGTACCCAAATTAATATGAATATTCATATGCTTTGCTACAGAAGTATCAGTGTGTTTGGTTACTGAGTGCTGCCCGAGGTCTTGCTGGGAGTGTTAAATTATGATCCTGTACTTTTTTTTTTTTTAATTATTATTTATTTATTTATTTACTTTTTTTATTTTTGGCTGTGTTGGGTCCTAGTTGCGGCACGCGGGATCTGTGTTGAGGCATGTGGGATCTTTCGTTGCAGCGCGCGGGCTTCTCTCTAGTTGTGGCGGCACGTTTCCTCTCTCTCTAGCTGTGGCGTGTGGCCTCCAGAGCGCATGGGCCCTGTAGTTTGCGGCACGGGGGTTCTAGTTGAGGTGCACGAGTTCAGTAGTTGTGGCACGCAGGCTTAGTTGCCCTCTGGCATGTGGGATCTTAGTTCCCCGACCAGGGATCGAACCCATGTCCCCTGCATTGTAAGGCGGATTCTTTACCACTGGACCACCAGGGAAGTCCCGATCCTGTACTCTTGATAGGGAGAAAAGGGAAAGCTTTTTTTTTGGATGGCTTGTTTTTGTTTTTTTGATGGCTTGTATTTTTTCAGCTTAATCTCAGTAAAGTCCTGAGAAATCCTCCCAGGATTTAAACTCACAGCCCCTTGATTCCTGCATATTCAAGGCCTCGTGGAAAGAAATGTTGAGCTTGCAGTCAGGAAGCCTGATTTTCTTCTTTTTACCAAGCTTCTCTAGGTTTGTTTTATTATCCCTATGGCAACGCCTAGCAAAAGTGCCTGGCATTTAGCAAGCCCTTCATAAATATATATCGAATAAACTCTAAAACGAGGTAGTTTTTCACTCGTAGTTCCTGATTCCTTCCTTCCTTCCTCTTGGTCCTGTTGCAGGCAGGGGGCAATGGCAGCCTGCCCTCCGTGGGTGAGGGTGCAGGAAGGATAAATCACAGAGACTTTAGGACAGGAAGGGCCCTAAGCGGGTCAACTCCTCTACTCAGCACCTCCCCACAAGGAAGCTGGATCCCCAGTCCTACCCCTTGGGCACGGCAGAGGGTCGCTTTCCTAGATGTGGTAAATGGTCCTCCTCTCCTCCCCTTTCAACGCTTGAAACTAAAATATTCCTTGGAATTGGGTCCTCAACTGCACCTAGGAGTCCGTACCCGCCTCAGAACTTCCTCCCGCAAAGCGCGGGACCCGCGCAGGCCCAGTACCCTCGCTTGGCCGGCGAGCTCCGACCCCCGCCCGCCCTGGAGGACTGTGGGTGGACGCTCTTGCAGAGCGCCTCTCGCTGGTCGGGGCGGGGGTGGGCGGAGCCAACACCGCCCAGGCCGGGGAAGCGGAGGGTGGGGACACTCTGGCCCCGCTCTCGGTGGTGCGGGGAGCGGGAGGGAGCAGCGGCCGCTCTGGTCGGCGGACGTGCTGCCGAGCAGTCCCGGAAGCGAAGGAGCGATGGCGGAGAGTCCGACTGAGGAGGCGGCGACAGCAGGCGCCGGGGCGGCGGGCCCCGGGGCGAGCGGCGTCGCCGGTGTTGTTGGCGTTAGCGGCGGCGGCGGGTTCGGGCCGCCTTTCCTGCCGGATGTGTGGGCGGCGGCGGCGGCAGCGGGCGGGGCCGGGGGACCAGGGAGCGGCCTGGCTCCGCTGCCCGGGCTCCCGCCCTCGGCCGCTGCCCACGGGGCCGCGCTGCTTAGCCACTGGGACCCCACACTCAGCTCCGACTGGGACGGCGAGCGAACCGCGCCGCAGTGTCTACTCCGGATCAAGCGGTGAGCCGGGGTTTTTCCTCCCCCAGCCCCGAGCTCCGGGGCTCGACCTTCCCCGCCGCCCCCACCCTGTACCACTACCACCCCCACTGCACTCGCGGTGGCCCAGCTCCCAAGCCCACGTCTTGCCAGCCCGGAGCGTCGGGATCCAAGTCCCCTTTCCCCCCGCCCCCAGCCCCACACGCACCAAGCCCCTCCTCGCGTATCCAGGTCCGACCCCGCCCCTCGGTAACCTCCCTTGAGCCCTCAGTCTCCAGTCCGGACACCCTCCCCCACACCTCCCGACCTCCCGCCCGAAACCCGACCCTTCGGCGCTTCAGTAACACCCCCTCCCGCCCTCCGCACCGCCCCTCTCCCCCCTTCTCCACCCCAGCCCTGTTAGATGCAGCCCGGAGGCCCCACCCAGCGGTCCCCTGCGTCGTCTCCTCCCGAGCCCCATTTGTAAGACACACACACAGCTTGCTTTGCCCGGCCTGAGACGTCAGGCCATCCTGGCTTTATTCCCGGCCTCCTCAACCCCCTCCACAGAGTCCCCTACCCAAGTCTAGGTCGCTTCCCACGCATGCCAGCAGCCTTCTCTTGAACCACTTTTCCAGAACCCCAAAGCTCTCTACTCTCACACCTGTTCCAGGAACTCAAGCTTCCATCCCCCCGCCGCCCCCCCACCCAGTCTCACATTGGCTTGTGATATCCCAGTCAAGACTTTCTTTTCTGTATTCTTTCCTCTGAGTCATGTGATTTACTTTCTGAAGCAAATGTACCCAATTGAAATATAGGAACAAAGGCCCAAGGCCCTTCTGTGCTTATTTCTTGGGTGACTGATCTCAGATCATATCATTTAATAGATAATGTTTTTGTGAAATTGCTCAGCATAGTACCTATCACATAGGAAAAGGGAATGCTTTTTAGCTGCTATTAATCCTGAAACCTGTTTGCTGATAGCCAGACTCTCTCTCCCCATGCCACCATCACAGTCATCCTCATCTAGGTAATCACATTCCCCACATTCCAAGTTCTTTCAGATGTTTCTACCTACTTTCAAGGTTGTACTAAAAATTAAACAGCATACTGTGTGTAAAGTACCTGGCCCAGTGCCTGACACAGTTTGCCAGCTCCATCAAGGTTGCCACCTCTAACTTAAGAAGCTCAGCACTCCTCAACTCTTGTGCTCCTTCAGCCATTTCAGTCTTCCAATCCTAACATATCTCTGAGTTCTGCCAATACTTCTTTTCCTCCTCTCTGTCACTTGTTTGCACTTTTTTATGTCCCTCTGTACCGTAGCAAGTCCCTAGATTTCCCACCTATAGGCCCTTGCTCACAACTGATCCATTCTAGTTTATGAGCTATGACCTAGAAGTCCTCTCATCTTCTATAGTAATGACTTCATGTCATCCTCCACCTGTGAGATTCTCAGCAGTTTCAGAGGGTCCCCATCCCAACCTGAAGAGGACTGTACACTATTAGTCTCCTGGGCAAGAAGGCCATTATTGCTCCCTGCTAGCTCACTTGCTTCATATAATCCCCGTGCTAACAACGGTCCACTGTGTGCTTTATGGAATTAGTTTTTTAGTGGAGTTGATTATGTCTTCCCAGTTACCGAGAAATCTTCATTTAGCATTCAGCCGTAGTACCTGGGAATCTCGGAGGTGGGGAGTGAATGAAGTGCCATGTGGGAGGAAGTGAGAGTAAATGGGATGTGGCTTTTCCAGGGTGACATTGGATACCATTGGGATCTCTGATTTTTTTTTCCCCCCTCCCTTCCCTCCCCCTGAGGAAACAATGCCCCTTTGATGATAATTTGCTCTCTGCTTGCCTGACAAATACTCAGCTGAGATTTCTCAGCCAACAAGACGGTGCAAACATTTGTGGTACCAAGCACCACTTTCTCGAACCCTGGCCTCACTGAGGTGATAACAACTGTCCTGCTCAAGGGATTCCCCTTTTTTCTCCTCTCCCTCACTCCCTCCCCCACTTCCTCTTGGTGTTATACAGGGATATCATGTCCATTTATAAGGAGCCTCCTCCAGGAATGTTCGTTGTACCTGATACTGTTGACATGACTAAGGTATGTACCTTGGTGGGGTTTGGGGGTTATTGGGAAATTGGGCCCATAAAGTTGAAAGAGCCTAAAAGAGATTATCCAGCTCACATCTCTGATTACACAGATGAATAAATCAAAACCCCAAGAGAGTAAGTGGCTTGCCCAAGGTCACACAGTGAGGTGGAACGGAGCCTTGAACAGGTATCTGTTTTGGGGTGCCAAAAGGTCCTGGTTGGCTTGGAAAAGCCCAGTTTATGCCTGTTGTCCAAGCTTAATTATTAATAGAGCACTCTTTACCTCTCAAAAATGCTCCAGTTTGGATAATAAATTATATGGTCACCCTATTGTACTAGCCAACTCTTCCCCCATCCTGCCACTCTTGACCTTTAAGTGTGGTGCTGTAAGTCAGATGCCAAGAAGGTTGGGGATGGGACAAGCTTGAGTGAACAGTGTTTGTAGTTACAGGGCCGTGTTTAGGCTCCTGTCCTTACTGATTGCTTTTGAATATCCTTTCCACCCCAAAGACCGTTCCTCTCTTGTCCACACACAGACACAAGAGAAAGCTTAAATTCCTCTGGCATAGATACCTAGACTTCTCTGTCATTGATTGCTCTACCCTGAGAAGTGAATTTTTACTTAAACTGATATCGGGAAGAAATCAGATTACCTAAATCTAGTGTTGTTTAAATGAAAACTCCTTTTAGTGTCAAATTTCTTATAGTAAAAATTCAGATTTGGTATTATTTGTGTGTCTGTTTTGTTTTGAATAGGTTTCCCTTTAAATTGATTTTTTTCTTTTTATGTGGTTGGAAATGTTTTTCCTAGGACATCTTGTTCTTTGTCAAGTATTAGTGTTAATATGCTAGTCCCTGGGGTCCCAGAATTGATGTCATGTTGATACCATTTGAGCTTGCTATTACAAATGACTGAAGGCTAAAAGATAACATAGAATGCCACCAGGGCAAGGTGGGGACTATAGACAGAGGCATTGGATTGCAGGTCCTTTTTCCTCTTGCTGTTTAAATTCTGAGCAGACTTAAGTGCCTAGGAGCCTTTGTAGATGAAGAAATATAACTGAGTCAGTTAGGTTTTCTTCCCTTCAAGAAGGGAAGTCTTGTTCAATAAATCACAGCTGGAGGAAGAGAACTTAGCATTTTGTTTCAAGTGCTGCTGATTTTTTTATATTATTATTAACCTACAGTGTTGGGGAAAGTTCTGGGGATAGTCTATGGCTCCGAGTGGACCCTGAGTTTCCCCATTTTTCTTTGTATCTTTCACACAGCTGGATGCTGCCTGAGCCACATCCTCCACAGTAGGTTTGATCCTCTGCGGAGGAGACAGATACCGTAGGCCTCCATCACAACCCTCAGCTCTGCCCTGTGATTGGCACTGGTGCTGTGGCCTCCAATCCCTTTCTTCTTTTCCATTTATCTCCTCCCCTTTGTGCCACATAAATGGAGGGTGGAGTTGCATCGTACGCATGTTTAACCTAGGCAAATACAAACATACGTACTCAGTAAAAATATGTATTGATTTCTTAAAATTAAGCATGCTAGGACAATATTTTATAGATGTATATTATGTTTTGCACGTTGGTGTTCTATCCATTTGTTATATAAAATACTGATCAGGGAAGTCTGAACAAAAAACATGCTTTAAGGGAGTTTTAAGGGACACTCAAGGGTGATTTTGGCTAGACTCAATTTTCACCTTGGGCTCTAACTTTAGAATGTAACCCCTGAGTAAGATGCCACTACACTGTAATGGGGTTTCTTAAAATTCCAAAAATATTTATTGGTGTGAGTGAGCACAGGCTATTCATTTTTCATGGTGAGGATATGGAATATGGATTCAGATGAAGGTCCTGCTTCTGGCGTGGGTAGCAAGTGGAAGCCAGGAGGGTTTGGGATGGGACATCACCTCACAATTTTGAGATGGGGTTTTATTTTGCAGATTCATGCATTGATCACAGGCCCATTTGACACTCCTTATGAAGGGGGTTTCTTCCTGTTCGTGTTTCGGTGTCCGCCCGACTATCCCATCCACCCACCTCGGGTCAAACTGATGACAACGGGCAATAACACAGTGAGGTTTAACCCCAACTTCTACCGCAATGGGAAAGTCTGCTTGAGTATTCTAGGGTAAGAGGAGACTTCTAAGTGGCCAAGTTGGTTGTTAGCAAATATTACTCTAGGCCAGCCTTCATCAACCAGGGTTTCTCATCTGAATCACAGGACACAGAAAATGATTGGAGTGACTGTTTCCTCAATTCTCCCCCGGATGGTACTTGATTACTGTCATTCTAGATGCAGAAAAAGACGTTAATTCATGATGTACAGTGGATGCCTTAGTGAAGTGGTTCACCCCGAGCAGCAGTAGCATCTGGGAATTTATAGCCATGTAGAGTCTGGGCCCCCACCCTAGAATTATTATATCAAGAACTCTGGGGGTAGGGCCAGCAGTCTGTCTTACAGGCTCTCCAGGTGATTCTGGTGCAAACTGTTGGAGAACCACTCCCTTAGGGCATCAGGGCTTAATTCTCTCCTGAGCAGGTTGAGAAAGGCTGCAGGTCCTGTGCCATTCAAGGCTGTGAATGTCTTATTCCTGAGTCTCGCGTGCGTGGCTTTGGAGGCAGTGGTGGTGGTGATGATGATCATGTTTTAGCAACTGGATGAAAAATGTCTGAGGTTGGAAGTCACATCAGATATGAAACACAGATGTTTCGAGTACATTTTTGTTTCTGGGTGCTACCAAGATTTTGCTTCATGTAGTTCTCATCCATTCCCTTTTAATCTCCTTCGGGGGTTAAAAATTCAGAATGGAAATATCTTCTAGCATATTCTGGATTGGTCTTTTTAGTGTGGTCTGAATTTCCCTGGGGCATAGAACAAGTAAAAGTTGAAGTTAAGAAAGTTGCCCAGACTGGTGATACTGTTTTCTTTCTTCCTGTCCAATCCAATATATTAGGTTTGTGTAGGGAAAAGGCAGCTGAAACAAACTTCTCCCTCTGCCCAATTCTCTCAGATCGAAGAATATGTTCTGTGATTGCGGCAGTGAGAAAGTCTTTTGAAGGACGTTGTCCTTAAAAAAGTCCTTTATCTCGTTAGGGTATAGGATTGTCTGTGCTGGAAGGATAGTGGTATATATAAACCACAGTGGTAAGGAAACTTAGTTGTTGTTTCTGTATGAAAGTTGTTCTTGTAAGTGTTTTTGTATTAGGTTTTCCTTCATTAGGCCAATATAAAACTATTTCGAGCAAACATCAGTTCACGGTAGAAACAGGGGAAGTAAGATGGTGGGGTAAAAGTGGCAGAAGTATTGGGTGGAAAAGGAGAAGCTACTCTGAATTTGAAAATTTGCCGTCAAGAATCAGAGTAGAAAATTCCCATGCGTACTTAGTTGACTATTCACTTTAACAGCTGCATTCCTTTCCTCCCTACCTAGAAAAAAATATTGGGCTGACTTACAAAAAGAAATTGAATGAGTTTACCCTGTTGACTTCAATGCCCGAATACTAGATGCTTCGGAGAGCACAAGGTCTAGGGTTCCTGGGGGACTGAAGCTGAGAAGAGAGGTTGAGAGGCACTGAAGAGCGAGCTCTGAGGAAGTTACTGTTCCCCATTACTTACTGGCCTTCCCTCAAGGCCAGCAGGGAAAGGGAAGTGGCGAGTTAACTTGAACAAGGCAGTCCTGGTTCAGGTTGTGTTCAGCTTCCAGCTCAGGTGCCATCTCTTCAATTAATTGAGTTAAAAGTAAATGTCCTTAATGTCCAAGCTTCCCTCCTTCTCCCAACATTCCATCAGGCATACGAAAGGGAGGAGCAATTTTGGTGTTTCTCTGTTGTTGAAGATGTTGTTCATATATTATTTTCAACCCTCCACACTCTAGAAGTGCCCCTTATTCCCTTTCTGTCCTTTGGCAGAGTTCTGTAGTTTTCAGAGGATTTGACACTCTTTGGGGGTTTGATAGAGAGCTGGATCCCCGATCATCAACCCCACCACATGGCCTCTAACCAGGGAGCTTCAGTCCCTTCTCTGCCTCTGTGCTCAACTTCTCTCTCCTCTCTGACGCCATCACCACCCATAAATAAATAAGCTCTTTAAGATCCATAGAGGTTAACATTTAGCTTGCCTTTGGAGCTGTTTTCTTACCTTATTTCTTTCATTTTGATGAAGGGAACCTTCCCTGGCTACTGTTTCTCTCCTAGCCCAAAGAAAATCCCTTCAAAGTTACTTTGCTTGCTTTGCCCTCTTTTGTGACACTTGATAAGAGGATTAGGCAGTTGAGTGATTTCTGGTGAATGAGGGTGAGATGGAGGCTGGGAAATTCCAGAGTATTAATAGTGAAAGAGAAAGTGAGTCACTTATGATGGTGCTTCCAGGCCCCGGGGTACTCGTACACTGGTCTTTCTGTAGGGCCTTTCCCGTCTCTCTCTGCCTCACCCTCTTCCCTTCCCTCTGATGTGTTTTGCAGTACATGGACTGGCCCTGCCTGGAGCCCAGCCCAGAGCATCTCTTCCGTGCTCATCTCCATCCAGTCCCTGATGACTGAGAACCCTTATCACAATGAACCTGGCTTTGAGCAGGTAAGGCCAGGTGGGCCCAGCTTTGGGGTGTAGAATATTGGGTTTTAAGAGATCTGAAAGATCTACTTGAGGGTTTTTGTTTTGTTTTTGACCTGGCTCAGCCCCATGTATTAAACTCGTCACTGTGGGAGAAAAAAGGAGCTGGCATGTGTGTGCCTTAATAATGAATTTTTTTCCCTATTACAATAACATTGTCAAGTTATTTCCATTTGACTTGGATTAAAGTCAGTGGAGTCATTTGGAAATTGATTCTGCGTCTGTTTTGGGGGCTCTTGGAGCCAGTGTGTTCTTCTGTATGCCTTCATTCCCCAGTATCCCTTTAAGGTGCTCCCTAGTGACTACTGCTGAGCCAGACTTTCTTTTGGAGTTATGAAGTACTGTTACCTGCAGAACCACAGGAACAGTCATTGGCTAGGGCAAGAATATTTTAGTCAGTGCTGCCAAATAGAAGGTGGAGAAAACTCATAATTTCCAAGGGTGTACTATATGCCAGCCCCTTCCAAACTTTTATATGTAACTTCTCATTTAATCCTCATACTAACTCTGCAAGATAAATGTTATCCCCATTTTCAGCTGAGGTAATGGTGACTCGGAGAGGTTAGTTAACTTTCACAAGGACACACAGATCAGGATGTAGTCCCAGGAGCCCAAAGTCTTCCATTGTTTCAAAGCCCCTTCCAGATTACTCATGAGCACAGGAAAAGAGTTCCAGTGATATTATCAAAAGATATAATAATTCAGTTTAAATGATTAAAACGGCTTAATTCATTTTGAAACTATTTGAGATGACACTAACATTGGTGATTCTTCTGTAGTCTTAAACAAAGGGAAATACCCTTTAAGAATGAACAAAAATTGGGCTTCCCTTGTGGCGCAGTGGTTGGAGGTCCGCCTGCCGATGCGGGGGACACGGGTTCGTGCCCCGGTCTGGGAGGGTCCCACATGCCGCAGAGCGGCTGGGCCCGTGGGCCGTGGTCACTGAGCCTGCGCGTCCGCGGCCTGTGCTCCACGGCGGGAGAGGCCACAGCAGTGAGAGGCCCGCATATGGTTAAAAAAAAAAAGGAATGAACAAAAATTATTCCCTAAGCCATCCTTTCAAACAAATAGTGAATGTGATTTCAGGAGTAGGTGGAAATGGAAACGGACCTCATTGGCCAACCAAGGACCTGATTTTTACGTCTTGTTTAGAAATTCAAGAGATGGGACTTTTATTCTTAAAACTACCAAAAATTCTTGGTTCACAGAACCCCCTTGTCTTGGTAGTTTTTTTTCACAGTTCCCCAGGCAGAAAGAAATGCCACACTGTTCCATTTGTTAAGTAGTTAGGTCTAAACAACTTCCTTCCTTCTCAGATGACTACACTGACTTAATAATAGGATGTGTACACCTGTTCAGTGCCATACAACTGTTAAAATCTTGGAATCAGATCAGAGCCACCACCCTCATTTCTGTTCCCTCCTGTTTTCATATGCTACTTGCTATTTATTAAAGTAGTGACTGAAAATCCGGCTTCGTGAAAACAATATGTCATCAAAAGGAATGTAATACAGTTCAACATTAAAACTGAACTACCTAGGGCTTCCCTGGTTGCGCAGTGGTTGGGAGTCCACCTGCCGGTGCGGGGGACGCGGGTTCGTGCCCCGGTCCGGGAGGATCCCGCATGCTGCGGAGTGGCTGGGCCCGTGAGCCATGGCCGCTGGGCCTGCGCTTCCGGAGCCTGTGCTCCGCAACGGTAGAGGCCACAACAGTGAGAGGCCCGCGTACCACAACAACAACAAAAAAAAACTGAACTACCTGTCTCAAGGTAGTAGTTTGCATGGAATTTCACAGGTGTTGAATACTGTGGTTTTCCTCAAAAAGTTTACAGTATCCCACAGTGCCCTTCTGATTTCCCTGTGGTGCACATTGGGAACCGTGGTGGTAGGCTGAAGGCATGTGTGTATTTCCTGTTCATTACCTGTTTTGATCAGAGCCAAGGCTCTGATTGACTAGAGTTGGTGGTGGGAGGGGGGAACAAGGGAAGAGTTAAAGGGTGGAACGCCATGCTCCCGTCTGTTCACGCCCACATGTTCCTATCAGCTCTCCAGACCAGGTTCGGAGTTTTTTCTTTTGAAAACTTCAGGTTCTACTTCTGATAGACAATAGTTGAATTCAATGATGGTGGAATCCACAGATGTGTAAAGGAGTTAACCAGGAAGCATCCTGATATCTATAGGTTTTTCAGGCTAAGACTCCTAGCATCATTTATACCTTTTTGTCCCACCATTATTCTTATACATGGTTATTTCCCACTTAATCCTTCCTGCGAGGCCTTTCATTTCAGGCTTAGGGAAATTTGATGGATGTGGTTTGCTGCTTATAGGTCAAATGACCCATAACAGAGGATGGGTACTGGTATGTGTGGCGGGGGGGGGGGCGGGGTGAGTGGTCTCAAGGACTTAGCTGCTCTTCATGGATCTTCCATATAGTGGGAAAGGTGTCCTCTTAGTTCATTTGCTTGGGTCACGTACCCCATACTAATCCTAAAATCTCTTCCCGTTGGCTTTTCTTTTCACCTAAATTTTGTACTTGGATACTGTGGCGTCTGTCACATTATAGGAGAGACATCCAGGAGACAGCAAAAATTACAATGAATGTATTCGGCATGAGACCATCAGAGTGGCGGTCTGTGACATGATGGAAGGAAAGTGTCCCTGCCCTGAACCCCTACGGTATGTGTGAAGAGAGCCCACTTGGTACTTGGTATTCCCTCTGGATATTTAGCTTGTTCGTACATTTGAGAACCTTTGTGGCAAAGTCCAGTGTTGGGCACCAGAGAAAGAGAGAGAAAAAGGAAAGATGTGGTTCATGTTTTTAAAGAGCAAGTGACCAAGGGGTTACCCAAAAGGAAGTTCAGAGAGCTTTTCGGTTCTTGGAGAGTGCCGAGCCTGATGGGAAAGACATAGTCCATGCCTTCAGGGAGCCCCTGTTTGACTAAAGACACTTAACTGTTATACAGCCAAATGAGGCGTAGAGTACTTCATAATAAACCCGTTTCTTAGGGTTCAAGTTTATTTCTAGGTGTTAAAAACTAGATGAGCAAAGAGTTAATGAAACAAACTTTTCTAGGAAATGGGGGGGCAACGGTTTTTTCTTTCTTTTTTCTTAATTGACGTATAGTTGATTACAATGTTTCAGGTGTATCTAGGAGAATTTTGAGTAAGGTTTGGGATTAGGGATGGCCTGTGGAAAACGAATGAGAATGAGCAAAGTCATGAGTTGAAGTTGGAGTTCAAATGATCAGTATTAACAGTCACTCTCATTTTATAATCCTTAGGGTACAAGGGAAATCAGCCATGGGCAGTCAGCTGTTTCTTTTTCCATTTTCCATTGAAAGATCTTTGTAGGAAACCAAATCTGGTCTTGGGAACTCTAGCTGCTGAATTTGGCATTAAGGTTAGATGGTGAAGGGGTGGTGCCTTCCCCTCTTGTTCCTAAGTGAAGCTTCTTTGCTTGTTTTCCAGAGGGGTGATGGAGAAGTCCTTCCTGGAGTATTATGACTTCTATGAGGTGGCCTGCAAAGATCGTCTGCACCTTCAAGGCCAGACTATGCAGGTAACAGAGCCCCTGCTGCTGACTCCAGAGGCCTTACAACAGACCATGTAAACCCCCCTCACAAGGGTGACATCCACATCTCTCTTAGAGTTCAGAGCCAAAAGGAACCTGGTGCATTGAGTAGCTGAGGCCCAGAGAGAGACTGAAGTCATATGGAGTTGGCTGTAGGTTCCTGGCATAAAGTAGGTACTCAAGAGTAGAATCTGAATCATCCTGCTTTCTAGCCTGGAACTCCTTCCCTTCTTGGTCAGTAGTCTTTTCAAACCAAGAACATTCAGCCCTCTCGGAACTTAGGGATTATGAGAGTCATCTGTTGGAATTCCATCCCTAGCTCAGGGGGGTGCTAAGAGAAGGAATGCTTAGGGAAACATTGGGTGTGCAATTATTGTTGAAAGAACCTAATACAAGGATGGTAACCAGTTGTTCATTCTCTGCCTCTACTGGGGAAATGTGCTTCTGCTTCCAATAAGTGCAGAATTTAGGCTTGCTTAAAAGAAGAGGTTCTTATTAAACCGAATTGTAAATAGGATCCAATATAAGCAACTGGTTGAGAATCTTCCTGTCCTGAAGGGCCAGTCCTGTGTCTGTTGGATCATTTACTTGCTTAGAAAAGTGGTGACTTGGATAAGTGGCTAAAGCCTCTTTAGGTTCTTTCCAGTTCTTTTTGGTCTGTGTTCCCACCCACCCAGCACCACCAGCAGTGGGAGTAACTGTTTTGTTTCCTCAGGTGCTGCTCAGAGATGGTAGCTTCCCTATCCTCCCTTCAAGGACTTCCCTCCTACGTCCCGCATTTAAACTCAAAGGGCAGGACCAGCTCAAGGCTGACTTGTTTCCTGAACCTTTTTTGAGAATATATCGAGGATGATGCATGCTGTAGCTTGTTCCCCATCAGGAATTATCATTGCTGGTATCTAGCAGCATTTCTAATATTCAGTCTGTGAAGGAAAACCAACTCATGACAAGGGAAGGGCAGGGAGGAGCAGCATCTGGGAAGGCGGAGAATGGGTGGAAATGGAGCCAGTGAGGAAAGGAGGAAGATTTGGGAAATTGACAGCTCCAGAGTAAGTGTGGAGTTCAGTTTTGGGAGAACATAACCCTCAAATGTGAAAAGTATGGGCTGTAGTCACAAGAGACTGACTTATATCCACTGGCCCTTGATCATGATGGTAATGTGTGGGCAGAAGTGTGGAAGGAGTTTAGGTGGGAGAAGCAGACATTATGTGAGAGGGAAAATCGTGGACTTTTTGTAACTGCCAAGGAAAGAGGTCTCCACTTGTTTGAGCGCTGGGCAAGCTACTTTGCTGCCATAATCCTTATTTAGCATTTTAAATTTCTTTTTTTATACCCTTCACCCCACCCATAGTTATTTTTGAGACTTTAAGGACAGTTAACCCCTTTCCACGTAATGTTTGGTTATCTTTGATCTCGAATGACAAGGACTGGAGTGATGCCCAGAAACCTGGACAGGAATGTGATGACTGGTCCGTGGGGAGGAGGGCAGGTGCTTATCCGAAGTCAGAACTCCTTCATTCTAGACCTGCCTGTGATCTCAGAAAAGCAAATTACCCTTTTTGAGTATAGGGAATGAAGGATAATTTTCCCCTTATATAGTTTGTATGAGGTTAATTGAAAACACCAGCACACTTAATGATTACAGTCCTGGTCTTGAATTTCTCTTCCCTGTCTATCTCGCCGTTACTGTGTCCCCCTTCTGCACAGTGGCTTGCTTTGGGGGAATGCAAACACATTTTAATGTTGGCCCAAGCCAGACCTATCTGGGGTGGTGAACGTGCCACAATATTCCTAAACAAAGATGATGTTGTCTGCTGTTGGGAACTCTCTGTGCTATGCCCCCTTCTGTCCCCATGCTCAGAAGTTGAGCGTGTGTTTCACGTGGGCCTAAAGCTGCTCTGTCTAGGGTGAGCCACCCAGACTTGAATCTTCCTTCCCGCTTGTCTCCTTTCCCCCACAGGACCCTTTTGGAGAGAAGCGGGGCCACTTTGACTACCAGTCCCTCTTGATGCGCCTGGGACTGATTCGTCAGAAAGTGCTGGAGAGGCTCCATAATGAGAACGCCGAAATGGACTCTGATAGCAGCTCGTCTGGGACAGAGACAGACCTGCACGGGAGCCTGAGGGTTTAGACCCTGCTCCCCTCTCCCCTCCCCCCACTCGAGAGTCCCAGCAAAGTCCCTTCCCCCCACCCCAGGGATGGAGAGGCACTTGTGTATCTCCCTCCAAATGTGACATCATCCTGCAAGATGGCAAGAACCAAGCAAGCTTGGATCCCAGGGTGTGGAAGTGGGGAGGCTGTTCCCGATCTGACCTCCTTGGCTCTCGAGCATCTGGGGCTGTGTTCATCCCATATCAGGGGCCAAGGTACCTATGCAGGAGCACCTAGGGCGAGGGCCTCTGGCAAAAACAAAACAACCAACACACCTCTCCACAGGGCCAGGTCCTTAGGGACAGGTGGAGACAGAAATTGCAATTCCTAGAGGGAGTGTGCCCAAACGATTTATGGGGATATCTGGAAGGGAGCTTGGGGTGGGGAGCTGTCTGTGACACTTAAGCAGTCTGGGTGGTTGTCTGTCTGTCTGTCTTCAGTTTTGAAGCAGGGCTTCCCAATGCCCTTTTCCTCCCTGCCTCTTCACCCCCATTATTTCCCACAGGCCAGCATAATTTTGTTTTTCCTAATTTATAGTCACTGTTCTAGACAGACCAAAGAGAAGGAACAGTGGTGGAGTCTAGGCTGCTGACGAGTAAGCTTTACCAGCACCTGAGCACCTTTCTCCTCTGCCCCCCATTCCCTCACCCACTCTAGATTTAAGACAGAAGGTAAACGTGACGGGGCCTGAACCGAGGTCTTGGGAAAGCCTGCACAGGCACCATAAGAAGCTGACTTGCCGTTAGTTCCCGCAATCACCGATTTGAAAGGTTCCCAATGCAGACAACTGTTGTGTGTATGGGATTAGAGCCACTACATAGAACAGTCTCTTACAGATTTTTCATAAATACTAGTCACAATGAGGGTATTACTCCTGGGGGTGGGGTACAGGGGGCAGGCTGATGCTAGTCCTATTGTATTTTGTTTGGCTGTCCTTGTGTGTTTTCACCTCAGCCTGTAGTCCCCCTCCTCACTTCAAGGCCCAGGGAGGGGGCTTCCGTGGTGGTGGGGCTTCCGTGGTGGCGCAGTGGTTGAGAGTCCGCCTGCCGATGCAGGGGACACGGGTTCGTGCCCCGGTCCGGGAAGATCCCACATGCTGCGGAGCAGCTGGGCCCGTGAGCCATGGCCATTGAGCCTGCGCGTCCAGAGCCTGTGCTCCGCAACGGGAGAGGCCACGACAGTGAGAGGCCCGTGTACCGCTTAAAAAAAAAAAAAAAAAAAAAGGCCCAGGGAGTTGTGGGGAGCAAGGGTGGCCAATGGCAGAGGGGATTGGGGCTGGGACTCTGTGAAGACTCCTCTCCTCACCCCCACCCCCACCCCCAACTGCTCTTTGTCACTGACTCTGATGGGTGTTTGCCTGGCTGTGTCGCTTCTCTGTCTATTTAGCTGCAGTGATCCTTTATCTGGTTGGCTCAGAAAAATGTGCTTTAGGTGCCCTGTGACACTGGGCATCAAGGGAACCCATCCTTCCCCTTTTCGATGTGTTCTCCTGTACTTTCCAGATTCTTACTGATAGGTCTCCCAGGGGGGTATTGGTGATCCACATGACACAGGGCCTCAGTCAGTATCCAGCCACATGTAAGGGAGAGGATAACTTGTACCTGCTCTGCCCGCTGCTAGAGAGGCCTCTGCCTTGTGGGTCATGAGACTTCCTGGGGAAGTTGGGAAGGGGTTGGGCACAAAGGAGAATGTCCTACTTGGGAGGGCAGGAAGCAAAGGAACTGGACAGGAAGTGGGCTTGGGGGACAGAAGTATAGCTTTGAAACCTGAAGGCTGGGCCTCTTCACAAGAAGACTCAAGAAGGGGCCCTGCTTCCAATTTCCCTCTTCCATTCCCAGAGCTAGTACAGGGCTTGGAAGAATGCCCTTGGTCTGTTGGTCCAGTGTTACCTGTCATACATTTAAGTGTTCCCACTTTCAAGTGACAATCCTCTCCTTGGTCCTGCCATGGGCAGAGCATGTCTGGCGTACCAGCCTGACTTTTACGTCCTAATCTTGAGTTGAGGAAATATATGCACAGGAGTCAAAGAGATGTCTTTATATCTGACTGTACATAAATGAAGTTTTTTGTTTTTTTTTTTTTTTTTCTTTTTGGTGCAATAAAGTTTGTTTTGGCAGAAGGAGGAAGCGCCTATGGGTGTGGGAGGGTTTGTGTAAAAGTAAGAACGGGATTGTTTTGACAGCCACACCTCTCACCTAGGCCTGAAACTGTCAGGGATAAAGATAGTGCTCAGTGGAAGCCAAAAACTTGGGTTATGTGGTGTGGGTGGAAGCAGGACTACTGGTGGCAAAAGTTCCCATCATTAAGAAACAGGGTCCTTTTTTTGAGGCTGTAACTTTGGCAGTCAGGAGAGGAATGCCATCTTAGCCTCGGCTGCTTCGAAAGAAATACCTGTCCAGGAAGTGAGCTTGTCCTTAAGGACAGGCAGAGGTAGAGATGGGCTCAGGCTATATATCCCCTTGCTAAGGGAAAGGTGTCTTAGTATGGATAGTCCAAACCATTGGGTTTTCAGTTTTCTGATACCAAACTACCCCTTAGGAATTCAGAATTCAGACCATGAAGACGGGGCTTAATGCTGGCCTCCCAGCTCATCACCTTCTCTACTTGCTATAGAAGGCTCTTGCTTTCTGGTACAGAGGCTTTTCCTCTTGGCTGACCATGTGTGTCGGAAGAAATTATACACAAAACGTCCTGCCAGCCTGTGCCACGCAAAGCTGCATACAGGAAAGCGTGGGCCCGGGGGGCTGTGGGCCTAGGCTCTAGCTTTGGCTCTGCTTAAGGTGGTGGCCTCTGGTCAATTAGATTCCTCACCTGCCAAAGTTAAGGACACCTATTTAACTTTTAAGGTTGTGAGGACTATACAAGGTGTATATAAAACTGGGTGTCTGGTAGGTGTTCAATAAATGATTCCCTTTCCCACCCCTAAGGTTAGAGGGATGACCTGATGACCACTATAGGAGGAAAAGGTAGTAAGGAATTTGAGAAATACTGCATCCACTATTGGTTAACTCCCCTCAAATTAAATTTTCTTTTCTGTAACCACCATTTAACATTGACCTCTATTTCCTTCATACTCGTAGCTGAGTCTGCTGCCATAACCTGGAACCTCTACAAAGGAAGCTGGAAGAGACTGAAAGGGTGACTATTTACTGGTCCGTTAGGGTCTGCTCATTTGAGATAAGGAACATTTTATGAGGAAGGGGTTTGAATTAACAGAGGCTATAATTTATGTCTCAGGGCCACAGAAACTAGACTGTCTAGCCAGGAGACAGAAGGCCTTCATTCTAGGCCCAGCTCTACCATGAACTTCTAGAGGACCTGTGCAAGTCATTTTATACATGTTCACTGTTATCTATGTTACTCAGGTTATCCTTAGCGGATAAAAAAGGTTTTCTCCAATAAAGATGCAATGTGAAGGCACTTTAAAAAAAAAAAAGTAATGGCTGAAGAATACTGGGGGAAGAAAAAAATTGGAATTTTTTTGGTTTTTTGGTTCTTTCTTAAAACAAAGTTGTCGAGGTTTTATTCACCACCAGCTCCTCCCTCTTCTCCCTGCCTGCTGCTGTGCCCCCTTCCGCATTCCCAGTCAGGGGAGGGCTTCTCTGGCCTCCTCAGCTGTAATCTCCTGGGAGTAGAGGTCAGTGAAGAGAGCTGGCAGCCAGTAGTGGGCCTCCCCTGGGGCCTGCAGGTCCAGCCAAGCCAGCCCTTCCTTCAGCAGGTGTTCCTGGCAGAAAAAGGGAAAAATCAACTGAGAAAGGGGAGTTTACATAACGTAGGGTAGATAATCCTCAAACCTATCTTGGCTTCAGTGGGGTTTTCAAACTAAATCTACAAGAGTGCCTTCACATATTTACACAGCCGAATTAGAATGATTTGTTTAGCCTAGGTCTTTGCCTGAGGTGTGAGAAATGCCACCAAGTTGCTTAATCTGTGCTGCTGGGAAAGAGGATAACGACAAAGTGGGATGTTGTGGAAGGAAGGGCTACAGAAATATTTGCTGTATGGCTTTGAGCAAATCACTAACTCCATTCCCTAAAACAAAATGGAGATCAGTACCTTTCAGTTAACTTACGGAGTAACAGACAGCTAGGGGGAAACCTTTTTGGAAAAGTTAATGGAAAAACCGTATTAGTATTAGAATGGGCTCATAGTTCCTATAGCTGGAAGTATGCTCCAGATGGGTTGGTTCTACCCAATATCATTAAATGTTTGTTATCCCCACTTCACAGATGAAGTTAAGTCTATAGTTCAACTGCCTGGGTAAGGAGAAAGGTATTGAAAGCCAGGGTTCCTACGTGTTCATGCCACTCTCTCTTCACAACATCAGTCTTTCATTAGTACCATGAAATGTGTATATATAAAACTATATGTAACATGCACTATAATAGTATATAATTATAGCAATGTAGTTATCAGTAGTTAATAATTCCCTTCACTCTGTACTAACAGTGTTACTTCCAGTACAAGCCACATTAACCATCTGACCAGGCTTTACAGGTCAGCAGAGAGAGGCATTGGTGACTCCCCAGTGGCAGTGGCAGCCTGGCTGTACCCATGTGCCAGGGCTGGAAGCCTGCCTTTGTGAGTTCTACCTCTCAGAAATGCTGGGGTTACTTCTGGTGTGGCAGCAGCAGCCTTCCAGGCAAGAAGTCAGCAGAGAGAGAGAGGCCAAAGCTCTTGCCTGTGTGGTACCTGTCTACCCTCCTCCTCCCATCTGGGGCCCATCTTTTCTGGGCCATTCCAAAAGTCACATACCAGCACTTGCCGCGCTCGCTCCGTCTCCCATTTAAGACTGGCTTTGATGTCACTGACAGTCACATAGCCACTTTTCTGAAGGAAGGAGGAATGGAGGCTGCGTCAGTTAAGAGTGTGCTTTCCCTTAGAATCCAGCATCTGCCCAGGGACAATTAATTTACCCAGGCAGGAGGGGGAACTGCCCTTGGGTGAAGCCTAAGAGAGCACAGAAGAATGTTTAGAGGTCCCAGTAGAGAGCAAGAGAGAAGTGACTTTCAGGATGACAGAGGTAGGTTGAGGGGTTCAGTCCTAAAAAGTAGAGTCGAGTCCCTGGTACTAAAATATTAATGTAGACTTTACCAGAGAACTCTAAAGTGACAAGGAAAGATTCAGAATGATTAACTGATAGGAAGAAATGGTGATCATCATAAACTGTTCATAATCTAAAATATTTAAGTATTCAGCCCCTGTCCTGCCTCACCCTAACCATTCCCCAATCCAGAAAAGCCCCCTCCCTCGTTTAGTTCTATTCTACATTACAGAATTGAGAAAACTGAACATGTCTTCCCTGATAAGGATAAGGATTTCGAGGAAGATGATACAGCTTAAGGCTTTGCTGAGGAACAGGAGGATGGCAAACAAGATTAAACATTTTTTCAAAGAATCCATAAAGTAGTTTTATGAAGACATCAAAAAATCTGTCCACCAAGGAAATTCAGTTAGTGGTCTGCATGTCTGTCTACACTAGACTGTAAGCTCCTTGAGAGCAGGAACTATATGGTACCCATCTTTATATGCTCCTACAGCCTGGCCCAGTGCTTTGCACTATAGCTGCTCAATAAACGTCTGCTAAATAAGCACAGGTCTGAGTAGTGCATCCGTTAGACAGTTTCAGCAAAAGACCTGAGTGATGGAGGGGAGGAGATCAGAAAATCCCCTCCCAGACTGCCTCTACATGCACATGCTCACGTGCACGCACGGACACACACACACACACACACACACACACACACACACACACACACACATACACACACCCTCCCTCCCCCCCTCCCTCCCCCTCCCTCTCCCCCTCCCTCCCTCCCTCTCCCCCTCTCCCTCCCTCCCTCCCTCCTCTCTCTCTCCCTCCCTCCCTCTCTCCCTCCCCCCCTCTCACACACACGCACACGCACGCACGCACACGGCCCACCAGTACCTCTGCCAGCTGCAGCACCACAGTGTGATCCATATTAAGCTCAGCTGGAACAGACTGAATGAGGTAAGTGCCGCCCACAGGGATGATGCCGAAGCCAGTGCCCAGTGCCTTTAGTTTCTTGATGGCCCTGATCAGGTCATCTCTGAGGTGAGAAAGAGCTGCTTAAAGACCCTTGGCAGACCAGACCTAGCAACAATGCAGTTTCAGCTCTGCCCTGGGCAGGATACCATGACTGAAGACTCAAAAGGCCGCACAACATTTAACTACATCGGTAAAAAGGCAGGGTCAAAGTGCACCAAATGGTGCTTGGACATTCCAGGGAAGTGGTATAGGAGTCAGGCTCTCCACTTAGCAAACCATTCCAATACCAGACAGAGGTTAAAAATATGCTTCCAGGAGCCCATCAGGAAATGTGAATAAGTGAGCTGAACTTAAGAGACAATAGGGAGTACTGTAAACTACGGCAAAATAGAGATTTGAAAGGGGCAACCCAGCTGATTACTGCCATTTGGAAATTCAGGCCCAGTAGTGCCAGATTTTGATTTCTTAGTTGACAACTAACTGAAATTAAAGAAAACCCACAAGATAATGTGTAGACCACATATCCAGCCCACATACTGAGAGTCTTTTTTACCTTTTCTCAAATTGGAGTCACACAAAGGCTAGTGAACCAGGTCAATTTACACCCCATCTTCTGAGCCCAACTCCTTTCCCCAGCCTTTCTCAGTGCCAGCTCTAGTCTCCTTGACCACAAATAATGTCAACAGTGTATACAGCCCCGAGTATGTTTAAAAAGAAGAAAAAAAAAAAGTGTATACACACACCCACATTATTTTTATGCATGAAAAAAATGCTTAGAAGGAAATCTACCAAAACTTTTAACAGTTGTAATATCTCAGTTGAGAAATAATGGGTTTTTTGTTTTTTTATATCTCTATTTTCAGATTTCTAAAATAAAAACATTTCTTCTGATCATGAAGAGGAATAAAAATGATTCTTAAACTAGCCTAGACGAACGAGTGGTAAGGAGAAAAGATTTCCACCTTTTTTAAAGACCTTTCTATACTCCAAGGGGTTGGAAGGCAAAACCTACTGGCTGACATCCTGGGCGAATTTGCCCCTTCCTTTTAACACCTGTTGATGTAGTTCCTCCAGAGTTATCAGACCTATTGGAAAGGGGGACAGAAAGCAGTTGAAGGATTACCTTTATGACTTTAAAAAAAAAAAAAGACAGCATCTCTGAAAAACTGTAAATGCTCTCTTGACACCAAGGCTGTGTCTACAGCCAATGATTTCTGTCTATAGCCAATGATTTCTAACTAGGTTTAAGTTTTATTTCTTAACTTCAACACAGACCATTCAGTGTGCTTATTAAGATGATATCACTGAATGATCGTTTTAAAGCTAACATTCTGGGGAGCACAGAGACTCCGTTGGCATCACCACACCTTGGAGAAGCAAGGCAGGCCTATAGTTACTAATGAGAAAATCATAACCCAGACACATCATCTATCAGGGAAAAAGGCCTATTTCCTACCTGCCTATATGTTCTGTAACAACTAGGAGCTAAGCCTTCCTGGCCAAAGACCTTTGGAGAACAGAGATAATCATTCAGATTTACCCTTGGCCATGGAGACTGGTCATGGATTCAACATCATGAAGCACTAAGATACTTCTCAGGACCTAACAGCTTCTCAAGACCTTACTGGCCTGCAGACTGCAGGATAGGAAAGATCATCTTTCAAGATTTTTTCCCTCTCAGAGAAGCCCAAAGCCCAGTCCAGGACCGAGCCACCCTCACCTCCATTCCGGTGTTTCAGGGCCAGGCACACTTCGATAATCTGGACACCCAGCTCGTAATAGAAGTCTCCCACACCTAGCATCTCAGACCAAAATCCTTTTCCAGCTAAAAGACATAAAAACAAAAGCAGGTTATTCAATAGTTACATCTTTTCTTTCAAAGTTAGATTAAAACATCTATTCTAGTGCTTGCTTCGGCAGCCCATATACTTAAAAAAATACATCTATTCTATGGGAAGTCTTCTCTGCCCAGCCTTACGTCCTTCTGCTCCACTTACAACTCAGGATCCTCAACACAATCTGACTCTTGGTAATTCCTACTAAACAACAGGTTCAGACAGTTCTAAAGGTGGGCAATCTATTTGGCTGCTAACTCTGGCTCAGGATACTATAAAAGTGAGTTTCCTTTCCCAAAGCATGCAGTGAAATATAATGGAACATATGGTCTAGACAGGCTAAGAAAAAGAATATGCAGACCTGGCATTCAAAAATCCATTGAAGATATTTTATTGAGTAAAAAATGCAAGTTACAGAGTAATAATTACAGCATAATCCCATATATTTTTATATATATATATATATTTTTTTTTTTTTTTTTGCGGTACACGGGCCTCTCACTGTTGTGGCCTCTCCCGTTGCGGAGCACAGGCTCCAGACACGCAGGCTCAGCAGCCATGGCTCACGGCCCCAGCTGCTCTGCGGCATGTGGGATCTTCCCGGACTGGGACATGAACCCGTGTCCCCTGCATCGGCAGGCAGACTCTCAACCACTGCGCCACCAGGGAAGCCCAATCCCATATATTTTTTAAAAATAGTTTATAAATATGATGAAGGTGTCTAGAAAGATATACCTTAAACTGTTAACAGTACTTTATCTCTGCAATTACGGGCAGGGTCAGAAGACTTCCACTTTCTCGTTTTCCTTTTTCTCCTTTGTTGACTGACTGCCTGAATACATGCTACTTTTATCAAAACGTTTTTTTTTTAACAAAGGGAAAAATAGTCATAAAAAATTCCACAGCACAGCATTCCAGGGAAGATCATGTACACTGGCTACTCAGCCTGCACTCCAACCTCTCCATCTTTCCCATCAAACTGGATACTCAGCCATCCTGCTAGGGACTCCCTGAAGACAACATCCTCTGGATCTCCCTGTAGGCCGTTATAGAAGACGCCCCAACAGTAGTGACAACAACTAGGTGAGCTTTGTCCCTTAGCAACCCTAGAAGAACACTGGACCCCTACAGACAACTTACAGGCCAGAGGATCCACCCCAATGGTGGCACACATGTCCTGGAACTGCACCCGGAACTCAGGATTCTTCCGTATCTCCTGCTTGTGCTTGCTGGCAAATTCTTCCAGGTTGGTCTTGAACATGTCCAACTGCTTTGACATCTGCAGGATGAATCACAGTTAAGTTTAGAGAACTTCCTTCATCACAAAATACAAAATTAAAGAAATAGAAAAAGAATTTTTTTCCTTGTGCTGAGAACTCTTAGGGTTTACTCTCTTAACAACTCTTATTATATAACACACAACAGCATTAATTGTATTTCGCTTGTGTTAAGTGCTTCTTTTCTTTTTCCCAGAAGAAAAAAATGTTATTAAATTGAAGGTGCAATCAACAAGGACCTACTGCATAGCACTCAATATCCTGTAATAACCTATATGGGAAAAGAATCTGAAAAAGAACAGACATATGTATATGTATAACTGAATCACTGTGCCGTACACCTGAAATGAACAAAACATTGTAAATCAACTATACTCAAAAATAAAATAAAAATTTTTTGAAATCTAATGAAATTAATTAATTGAAGATGCACCTAATAATTTTGCAGCATTCACACGGTGGGAAATCTTCAGCCACTGACAGAAAGGCTAGATAGGAGAGAAAGGAAGCCTGGCACGAATTAGGTGTGTTGTTTTAATCTCTGAGTCAAGAACCTCCTTGGGGATAACCATAGATAAAGAATCTCTGAGGAAGGGATGTGGCTCTACCAGAGTAGATTCTAAAGCTAAATACTTTTGGTTTGGGGATATTCTGACTTCCCATTTGCATTACTCCTTCTCTTTCCCTAATTAACAACCTATCTTCAGCTCACCAAGAATAACCACTCCTGGCCCAGCATCTCCTCATTTCCAACATATTAGAAATTTACACATTATTATAATCACCATTTCCAGTTGATTCCTGCACGTTATCTCCCCTGAGTGGGAGCTTTTGAACAGCACACCCTGTGTCTATTTATTTTCCTCAGTTCAAGGGCCCATTTCCCTGCCTCACTGCCTCCTTCTCTTCTTCACCAGGCAAAATAACTGAGTAAACAACAGGGCATGTACAGAAAAGGGAAGTGTTAGAGAAGGAAACTGCAGGAGCCATACCCCCATCACTGACACTTCTGGTATGCACCTAGATGTGATGGTGGTGGGTGCCACAGGTTAGGCAATATTTTCAGGTTATTCTTAGGTATTTAAAGTAAAAACCCAAAAGACCTAAATCAAACAACTCTACCACTTACTACCCATGTAACCTTGGATAAAGCACTTAACACCTCAGTGCCCTCAATTTGAAAGTGCGAAGAACAGAGTTCCTTCCTGATAGGATTGTCAGGAGGAATGAACAAGACAGTGTATGTAAAGAAAATGGACATGTGCCTGGGACGCTACAAGTAGGTAATCACTCAAAGATGTTAGCTATCATTGTTATCAGCAAGTCACCTAAATGACCTGAGCAGCCCAGAAACTGGGGTTTGCCAAATGCCCTATTTTTAGTTCGATCCAAACAATCTGGTTTATATCAAAGGTGTCCTGCCCAGCCTTGTCGGATCTCCCTTGCTGCCTGGAGCCCTCCATCCCACTCACCTGGGCCAGCTGGTCCTCAGCCAAGACAGTCCCTCGCTCCTTATACTTGGCCTGTCAGACAAATAGACCAGGATGAGTTGAGAGAGTGGGTGCTGGGGGCTCCCACTTGTACTGCCTCCGCAGAAGTATTAAGAGGGTCTCACAAATGGTTTTTCTTAGGGAGAGGGGGTGAGGAAGTAGAATAGACGACTCGACTGTAGTCTAATTGGGGGAAGTGGGGGAAAGGGCTGATGGATCTAGGGATGCTGACATTCCAATACACCGGAAGCTGGAGAAACTCAATTCCCTGGGACCGAGAAACCCGCGTCAGATTCTGTTGGGAGGCGATCTGAGGGTACAGAGCTCTGCGCGGAGAGACTTCTGTCTCTCGCGGGTCTGGAGTGATTGTAGGGCCCGCCTCCTTCCCCTCACCTCCGCAAGCTTCTTCTTGGCGATGGCGCCGGCTCCTACTCCGCGGCGGTGCATCCCCACCGTGGCCCGCGGGCCGCCCCGCTGCCGGGACCCCGGGTCTCCGCGTCCCGGGATCCTCCACCAGCTCCCCCACGCGGATGCGCAAACTGGACGTCATCTCCGCGCGCCGGAAGCTACGCCCAGACTTCCGGCCGCGGGGCTGAACTCCCCCACCGCCAGGGGCTGGGCGTCCCCGCCTCGTGCTCCAGCCAGGATCCGCAAAACTGTTTGCGGCCCAGCGCTCCCCACCCAGGTGGACGCCTCGGACCCTCTCGAGTTCATGCGACTGCCCCCACCGCCACCCCAGCCTGCAAGTGAAGGCCCGCCGCTGCGCACTGGCCGTCTGTTGCGTGCGACGCGCTGAGTTGGGCGCCGAGCGTTCCATATTAAACATAAAACAATCCGTTCTACGCTAATGGAGCTTGCCTTTTGGAATCACACGTAGAGCTTCTGACTGGGGAAGGCCTTACAGTTAAGAACTTGGACTCTGGAATTAGTTTACCTGGTTCCATAGCTCACTTCCACTGCGTATGGTCCAGTAACTTAAGGCAAATACCTTAATCTCTTTGTGTTCCATTTTCCACAGTTGAGAAAGAGTAATACCTACTCATGAAGTCGTTCTGAGAATTAAGCCAGAAAATATATAACAAAGAATTTAGTGCAATGCCTGGCACATAAATAAGTATCAGCTATGTTTGTTATTCATCAGGTCTGGGGTGAAATCAGTTATCTGTGTGTTTAGGAAGTTCCATAGGTGATTTCCAGAGTCTTACAAAAAAGGAGCCAAGGGAGGTTTAAGTCAGGGAGTAATAATATCAAAATTTTGTTATAGGAAAAACAGTGGCAACCTAGACTTAATTTTAAGTCAGTTGTAGCAATCCAAAGTAGAAATGATGAGGGCCAGAACTAAGATGGTGGCAGAAAGGATAGAGAGAATGCGACAGATTCCGGACAAAGTAAGAAAATGAGATGGTAAAACTGATGAGATGGGGGCAGAGTGGGTGGGAAAAGTTAGCAGGATGTTCAGTGTCCTGGCTTGGGCAACTGCGTGGTGCCATTCAGAGAGAGAGGTAGGAAGAGACCACAGGATGAAGCTGAGGAAATAAGAGTGGTTTTGAAAATGTTGAAATTGAGGTCTGTGGGACATCCCAGGAGAGATGGCCAATTGTCATTCAGATGTACTGGTATGAAGTTCTACAGAAAGAACTGGGCTACAGATCAAGGCAAAACCATGGATGTGAATAATGTTACCAGAGAGGTTTCAAGGAAAAGGAAAAAAAGAGGATGGGAGCAGGGACTTCCCTCGTGGTCCAGTGGTTAAGACCCCATGCTCCCAATGTGGCAGGGGGCAGGGGGGTGGGGGTGAGAGAAGGAGTTCGATCCCTGGTGGGTGAACTAAGATCTTGCATGCTGCACCATGCAACGTAAAAAAAAAAAAAAAAAAGAGGATGGGAGCAGAGAGATCGATGGCAGGATATTTAGTTGCCATTTGGGGCCTTGAGGGATGGTGGAGCCATGAGCCAATGAGTCTGGGTCCCTGAGGATTTCACGGAGCAAAAGCTGTCACACCAGCTCCGGGCTGCCTGCCTCTGGGTGTTTACGAGAAAGAGAAATAATGCTCTATCTTGCTAAAAATATTTAGCACTGTTACTTGTGTTTTTCTGTATTTTGAAAGAACGACCAAGGCTGAAACAATTATTTAGGCTATCATAGTCCTACCTTCAGATTCACTCCGATACATACCCTTAGATACTAAACTCAGATAACATAAGCCCCCCTAAACACAAACTTACTTTCCCAGACACAGATTTGTCCCCGCCCAACACATACATTTGACACCCTCTCATACACATTGACTTCCTCCATTATACCCTGTCAATGAAAAATGCATTAGCCCCATGTATGCACATACTGACCTCATATTTTCATATTCTTACTACACCACTCCCTAACACAAAAACTCCGTCCCTTAGGTGCCCACTGACACCATCTAGACACACCTGCCTCACTTCTCACTCTCTGACCCACACTGTATGGCTCTTTAAAGTATACACACTGATCCGTCACTCACACTCATGACTTCAGATTTAACTATTCAGACCCTCAAATGCACACATACATACTCCCTGAGGTACACACATTGACCCTTGATAAACTTCGTTGCCACCCTCAAGCAGACATGTTCATTCCCTTCTTCAGACACATTTGTTCTCCTCTATAATTTAAGAGAAAGTATGCTGACCAGTAATGTGCTGGTAAATGTTTAACAATCACCTCTCCAGGTTTGGAGGGCGGTGCTCTGATTTATATCATTTGCCAGTTTCCATAGTGTAAATACTCTGACCACAGCCTTTGGAGCTATTGTTTCAAGCTATGGATGGTTTTACAGCCTGCTCACAGAATTCCTGACAATTTCACAATGGCTCTCAGAAGCCCTCTGCCCCAGTGCACCACTGAATGTGACCGTCACAGATGCTCTCAGTTGCTTTAAGTGACTAGTGAGTCATTGGCCTTATGGCAGAGTGGCTAAGAGCATGGGCTTTAACTCTCTGCCTCAGGGAGGCAGTGTAGTGCACGGTTAACAGCTATGATGCTATCATTACCTCGAAGGACTGTGACGAGGCTTTCAATGAGATCACCATGACTTTTTTTAAATGATGTTTCTAAATCCGAATAAAAGCCAAAAAAATAAAAAACCAAAAGTTGAAAAAAAAATGGCGTCTCGAAAGTCCTGAGCATTAATGCCTGGCCCATAGTGAGACAGTTGTACAGCATTTTTTTTAATAACACTTGACAGATTCACTGATTCACAGAGACACCCAAGACTGCGGAAATATAGATCTGAACTCCTCCCCAATACAATCAGTTCTACCATGGAGAATCACTAAAATATAACCTCTGAGCAAAGGCATGCTCTAAATTGTGTGGTACACACTCTTAGAACTCTAGGAGTTTAGAGGAGAGGAAGCCCAAAATGTTAAGAACTGGAAGAGATTGCAAACTGGCAGCCCTCAGGCAAATTCAGTTCTCCAAAGAGTTTTGTTTGGTCATCAGAATACCTTTAGGGGCACATTTCTTTTCCATTTTCACAGTCCCAATCCTTCCCCTTATTTTACACACTCCCCACTTTGCTTATTTAGGTTACTGGCCCAGCCATTCAGCCAATCCAGTTTGCCACTCCCTGATTTTAAACTAATACCCCAGTGTTTTTAAACTGAGGTTTAAGTGTGTGAATAATAATAACAAAAGTTAACTTTTATTGACCACTTACTTTGTGCCAGGCATTATTTTAAAATACTTCAACCCTATGAAGTGAGTACTTTTTAATCTTTTCCAGACAGCAAACTGAGCTTCAGAGAGAGAGGAACTAACTTGCCAAGTCACAGACCTAGAGAGTGATTTGAATCTAGGTGTGTTTGACTCTAGTATGCTAAAATATGACTAGATCAAGGGGAGAGGAGGGGACATTAGGCAAAGGTAACCTAAACTAAGCGGGAAAGAGAGACAGCCTTGCCGTCCGTGGATGCAGAGCCCTGGGAGAAGGCAGCATGCCGAGGTGGGAAAACATTTAAACACCGGAAGAAAGAGGTATTGACTTTACTTTTGGACAAACTGAGTTCTCCCACTTCCCTTCACCTTCACTGGCAACTCCCTAGTGTGAAATCTGGAATCCCTTAAGAGCCTCTTCCACATTCATCCCTCTTCATCTCAATATCATTCTCACCATCATCAGGGTGATTGTTCGGGGATGCAAATAGATCTTCTCTGACCTGCCCCTGCTTAAAATCCTTCAAGTACTTGTCCTTGCACTGAGGATAAACTCTCAAAGCTTTAACATGGCCTTTGAGGCCCTGCCTCTGCCCACCTGCCCAGTCTCCACTTGTGCCGTTCTCACCGTTGCCCATTTTGCTGTGCAACCATAGCACTGGCTAATATTTATGAAGGCTCCCGTCACCCTTTGGCCATTTTATCCTTCAAATCTCACTCAGCTTAAACGTCATTTTCTCAGAGAGGCCCTCCTGACTGCCCACTCCATCTAGATGAGGCTTCTCTGTCCTCTCACAGCTCCCTAGTGTTTCTTCACATAACTCTGCATGTTATGTAATTATTAATGTGTTTGTGTGTTTAAAGATTAAAGTCTGTCTCCACCACTGGACTGTAAACCCCTTGGGGACAAGGATTGTGTCTGTTTCCATGATTGCTGTATACCCAGCGTTCAGCGCAGTCTCTGCCTGTGTTAAATTTCCAGTAAGTGTTCGTGGAAACAATAGATGAATTAACAGATGGGTAAGAGCCATATCTGCTTTTCACTGGGTTGTGCACACACGAAGACAAATGAACAGTTAGTGCTCTGTAGACACGTGAATATGTTTTGACAACGGGCACAAAGATTTATTTCAGCTTGAACTTGGTTTTGTTTCTTTGGGGTATCCTGGGGTGGAGCTGAGGCAGGAGCTGAGTAAGTGAAGGACAGAGTCCAGTTCTGAGCTGGGTTTGGTCAGAGTCACTGAAACCTGTGCAGAGTGGAGAGAGGAGTGGAGCAGGGGAGAGGAGGGTCAGTATCGGCTTAAAGGCAGCAAAGTAAATGTATCCTGGCACCCAGCCATAGTTCAACTGCTCCTACCTCCAAATTACCTCTCTAATTATAAGTAATCAAAAAGATTCCAAAAAGCACAGAGACTGTTACCCACTTTCCTGTGGAGATTTTCTCATACTCTCTTCTCCATTGTTCAGGTCACATTCCTCTCTTCCTTCTAACCCTCTTACAGGAAGCCATCCCAGATTTGTTCCCTCAGTCTCTCAACTTCCCAGCACCGAAGTCTGAATTTGTTTTGGTTTCTGTGCCTCGGTGTCTGCATCTTAAATGAGTGTCCTGTCTCACCATTCGGGTGGGTGGATCTCTTCATGGTATTGAGCCATCCCTTGTTTCTGAGACATAATAGATTGAAAGACTTCCTAGCTTAAGAGGAGGATTTGAGGACAATTGAGACCAGCAGCAGCTACAGAGAAGGGCAACATGCCTCCAACTCTAGGGGTTCCATCACTGAGAAGGTGCCATGGCACAACGGTACCAAGGAAAAGCTAAGGTTAGGACGGGCTCAGGTGGGTAGGGCAGGTGAGAGCAGCATCTCACCTGGAGGAAATTGAGGAAGAAGTGCAAGTGGTACTAATAACTGTCAAGGTTACCAAACTCTTAGCACCCTGCAGATGTTGGTTTCAGCCTTGTCCTCGAATGATCTTATTTAAACCCCACCAAATCCCATGACATGGTTTAAGTAGCCCCAATTTTCACAAAAACCCCAAGGTTCAGAGAGTCAAAGTAATTTGTCAGCATGTGTTGAGGTGAAGATGTGAACCCGTGTCTGACCCCAGAGTGCGAGCTCACAACCACAATGCAAGATGCCCAAAGCTACCAAACTCCCACCTGAGCCTGCAGAACTCCATCTGATCCACTATCCAGGACAGCAGCTCTCGAATCAGTAAATCCTTTAGCAAACCGTCATCACTGGGGTTCTTGGGTAGGGAGCTACAAAGGAGAAAGCCTCAGGCAGGCGCCTTTAGCCTGGGCACCACCCAGAGAGAGTAAATACGGGACCTGGGACTCCAACTTGGTGGGACAAGGTGGGGTGGGGGTGGGGTGTACGAGCCAACACAGCTGCCTCTCAGTTGTCTCAGCTTTCAAAGCTCCACCCCAGACCTGTCGGCCAGGGAATATAGGCTCTTCCATACAGGCAAAGACAAACAATTCTGGTGGGAGACATCCCACGCATCCACCTCTCCAAGTGTCCCAGAGTGCATTCCAAAACCCCAAGAGATTACTTTGGGAATATTCACTCTTTAGAAGGATCTGTGTCATCAATTCCTCAGCTTCCTACAGAAACAGGGTAACTGATTTCAGGGGACTGGCCTTCGGAGGGTCCCAGTTTCACAAAAGCCTTCCTGAAGTTTGGCAGGCAGAAGTGGAGAAGCCAGTTTCCGAGGTCTCTTTTGTGCCCCACTCCTGGACTTGTTGACTCTGCACACTAGGTCATCCACCTTAGAAACTGTGGCCCCAGATTCCCTCCCAGGACCCCCACCCCCTTTCCTCCCAGGCTTTCCCTTAGGCTTGGGCTGTCCTCCAGGAGTTCTGTGAAGACCCCTCTTTGAACTCTGAGTAGAAGGGGATGCTTATCTGGGGCCTAGCCCTGCTCTGGAGTCTGGGAGAGGGAACAATGAGGTGGGGTCAAGAGGCACCCCCCCCCCCCCCCCCCCCCCCCCCCCCCCCGGGGGGGTGCCCCCCCCCCGCTCCCCCCTTGCCTCCTCCTTCCTGTTAGATTGATGGGCCAGCTCTAGGGCCCGGGCCTCCCTCTGGGTGATGTTGTGTTTCCAGCTGGTAAAATAAAGATTAGGGAGTGGGTGGGGCCAGGTGAGACTCCAGATGTTCTCCAGCCCAAAGAAGCTCCAATCTTTTGGTACCTCAACCCAAGGAGCAGAGGGGAACTCTTTCTCTACTCAGCCTCCCCGCTGCTTGTCTTCAGCTATCAGTGACAAGCTTTTCAGGAGCTACCATGCTGGCCAAACAGTGAGGGCAGGGGAAAAGATTTTGCATAGAGAAGAACGATGAAAGCAGTTTATCCTATTTCCAAAGTCTGAAGCTGCCGCCACCAAGTAGTCATTGGCAGCAATTCAGCTCCCCTGGTTCATCCCCAGCCCCCCAGGGATCCTCTGTGAGTCCCATACATCTTCCCGACTCCTCCTCTTAGAAGAAAAGGATTGGAAAATTGCCCAAATCCTGCTCCAACCCCCGACCAGACTGCTGCCTGAGCCAGGGTCCCAGGCAGGGCCGCCATGCGGTCCAGCTTCCCAGCAGCACCTAAGCGAAAGGTGCCACCTGGCCTTGTGCATCACACGGGGGCACAGGGAGCAGGGAAGGGCACGCATGACTCACTCGCTCTTCTTCCCCTTCTGCGCCAGCAGCCAGTTCACAAAATCTTGTTGGCGGATCTTGTCCATGGCGATGCTATAGTCACTGATGAAAGTGCCTTCAGCGTACCTGGGGCCTCGTGGTTGGGAGTCGCTGGCCTTAGTGTGGAACCTGAGGGGCAGGGAGGGGAGAGAGAGGAAAACCAGGATGCCATAGAAGGAGCAGAGGGTGCGAAGATAAATGATTGTCACCAGCAGGGGCTGCTATTTGGAAAGGAAGCAGCCCATTTCTAGGGAGTCAGTTTTTATGGAGACACCCTCTTGTCCATGCGTCAAGCCCCTGGGGCTTTATCCTCAGCTCAAGCACCCACTTCCAGCATCCTCGGTGTTTGAAGCTCTGCTTCTGGGCAAAGATCAGGGGTCCCCCTCATCCCTAAGGACCGAGCCATAGTTTTCTCCTTTGCTCCTCTTGCCCTGGCCCCACCAGATTCAGTTCTTTGGTTCTCAGTTTCCTGACAATAGTGAGCTCTCATATAACAGCACTTACTATGAGTCAGGTCCTCTACAAGCCCTTTAATACAGAAACTTACTAAATCCTCACACCACCCCAAGGAGGCAGACACTATGTAGATCTCCCTTTGGTAAGTGAGGAAACCACCGTGCAAAGAGATTAACTTAGCATACAGTGTAGGTATGATCCAGGGTTTACCCCAGGTAGTCTGGGTCCAGGTCTATGGTCTTTAACTTCTGCATGATGTTGTCTGTCCTTGTATATATGTGACAGCTGCATCTCAAACTTAGCCAAGTTGACAGGGGCATATGGCTTGTCCTTGCATATGAGAAGGCCTAACTCTACTCAGACACGTCTCTCGGCCTCCCAAACACACAAACAGAGCTCCCTGCTATATTCATTCATAATCTTCCCTGCCTTTTCCTCACAGCGCTCATGACAGTTTGAAGCTTTGCCTAGATGGCTCTTCATGTGCTTTCCCCTTGGGCCTATATGCTCCACGAGGGCAGGTGGCATTTGTGGACCACTCTTCAGGTATATCCCTTGTGCCTGGCACACAGGAAGCCTGCTGTAAAATTTGATCAAATGCACACATAAGTGACTGGTTAAGGCTTTCATTAGGAAGGGAGATGCTATCATCTACTTCAGACACTTAACCACTGAGAAGTCCTTCCAGAGATCTAAGCACACTCTCTCCATCTACAACAGTAGCTCGTAAAAAAGACTCCCTGGGGCTTCCCTGGTGGCGCAGTGGTTGGGAGTCCGCCTGCCGATGCAGGGGACGCGGGCTCGTGCCCCAGTCCGGGAAGATCCCACGTGCCGCGGAGCGGCTGGGCCCGTGAGCCATGGCCTCTGAGCCTGCGTGTCCGGAGCCTGTGCTCCGCGACGGGAGAGGTCACAACAGTGAGAGGCCCGCGTACCGCAAAAAAAAAAAAAAAAGACTCCCTGGTTCTAGCCTCACTCTGCACTCAGACTGCTGAAAAGTTTTTTTCCGTCGAGCATCTTTCCTCTTGGCCTGGGATTCCTCCCTTTCTCATCTCCCCCTTGAAAATAGAACCCAGTCACCCCCCGAGCCTCCTCCCCGGCACCTGACCCCTTCCTTCTCACCCCAACCTGGAGTGACCTTCTTCCTTCTCTCCTAGCACCAATGCCAGGAGCAGGGACACCAGCAGCAGAGAGAAGGTCTTCATGGCCACCATCTTCCAATGGTTATTTCCTGAGCTAAGAGAGAAAAGGACCAGCATGAGGTGGAAGCCCTGTGCTGAGGAAGCAGGCAATATGGCCACGCACTCCTGGTGCCCCAGAGCCTGTGGGGAGTCTGAAAGCTGGGGGGCCCTGTGCCCTGGGAGTTGGAGCTTTTCTAAGAGGCTAGAGCAACACCTTGGGGATGGTGGGAGGAGCTGGCATTAGAGTTAGAAGGGACGTTAGAAGGGATATGGAGCCTGGATGAGAGTGGACCTGCTTCTTGTTTTTCAGGTGGAGTCTGAGTGGGGTGGGAGGAGGGCAGCAGGGGGGCGATCCTGGCAGGAAAAAGCAGTGAAGTCCTGTGTGCAGGGACAGCCCCCTTCCTGGCCCCTGTGGCTAGACATCACAGGCATGTGGACTGGCAAGATTCTCCCTTCAGAGCCTCCAAAGTTCATACCAGCCAGCCTTCCAGCTCTCAGATTGGCTGTCACCTAAATCTTCGCAGCCCTCTTGGCCTGAGTGAAAACCATAAGTAGAACCCCTACCCCCCAGCCTTCACTATCCCCACTTAGGGATGTCCGACGCTTCTACCGAGGGCAAGCCCCGTTTCATCAGGGCATCTTCAGCAGAGACGAAAAACAGTAAGGAGCCTTCCTCCCAAGCCCTGAACACCAAAGCTAGCTCTACAGATGTGTGGATTTTCCTGCGTTGTCACCTGGGTGTTAAAGGAACCCTCAGCCCCACCTTTTCTTTCTTTCACAGAGGAAAAGAAAGTGAGGGGCTAGGGTGCCAAACACCTCAGGGGTGCCAAGACCCACCTCCTCTCCAGTGTCCTGTCCACGTCCACGTCCACCCCCATCCCAGCTGCTCTCTTACCAGCCTTCCTTTCCGGCTCTCCCAGAAGGATAGGGCAGGGGTCTCCTCCTCCCTTCTGGCTCTTTGGAACCTGTCTCAAGAAAGTCTGCCCCGGCTCCTTTATATCCAGATATCACAGTCCTACTGATTAGCCTGAAAGCATCTTATCTCAAGAAATTAATCCCACAGCTCCTGCCACATTAAGTCCATTTTACACGTAATAAAGTTGCCCTTTCCACCTGAACTGCGCTAATTGGTAATTAACATTTGGGTATCTCCAGCTGCTCTCTGGGCCTGGCCTGTGGGCAGGGTACCTTAAGTGCCCCTTTTCTTCTTCCCCCTCCTCCCTTCTGGGCAGGGAAGCCCAGTATTCCTCCACTTCCTTTATAGGTGCCCTCGGTTAGAAAGGATGGGTGCCCTTGGTGAGGGCAGGCTTGGGTAAGGTGACACTAACTTGGGGGGGGGCACTGCCATAGACATTAGACTACTCCTGGGTCGGAGAGAGAGGGGCCACAGTGGCCCGCGGCTTTGTCAATGTGGCAGTGTCTCCAGCTCGATATCTAGGGGGTGTCCAGCTGCCTGGGGAAAGGGCGGGAGAGTGATGGAGCAGAGGGTTGAGGGAACATGAAGGATGGGGGTTTCCTGGTGGTAGCTGGTGAACTGAGAACTTCTACTCAAGCTGCCTTCCTGCTGAGGGGCAGGCAGGGTGGGGAAAAGAGGCACGTGTACACCGTGGGGACGCAGAGGGAGGCGGACCAGCTACAACTCTAACTGTAAAGATTTATGAGGTCCAAGCCTCTCTCCTCCAGTGCTCTGCTCTCCTGTAAGAGAGAAGTATGTGCCCCTGTGTTTTGCCATCAGAGTGGGGCCTCTGAGGCTGCGCTGTGCCTCGATCAGACCCGGGGCCCTCAGACTGGAGACTCCTTGAGGTGCACCCTTTGCCTTTCTCCAAGCACTTAGTGCATGGCTCTGTCCCCAAGGGCTCTCAGTCCGGAAGGGGCGGGGCACAGCCTGCACGTTTGGCCGACCCCCAAGGCCTCCTTCCCAGGCTCTTCCCTCTCCACACTCTGTGGGTACTTTGAACCCTAAACAGCCCCGCTCCTGCCCTGCCTGTTAGCTGCAGGGCTGAGTAAAGGCCACTTTCCTTTCCAGGTCAACTCCCCAGCCTGGGAGCCGGTCCAGCATGAAATTAAGTGCTTGTGTGGGATGAGAGGTAGCTGACTAGGATGGTCACTTACCTCTGCTTCCTGGAAACCTCACTGACCCACCACCCACTTTCCACCGTCTCGAAAAACTTCTCTCTGGGCAAGCTCTCCAGATTCCATCTCCTAGCTATCAATGGGCAGAGATTAGACATCAGTTCAGATTTGGCCTCCAAAGAGGGTGCGGGGGCTGCTTGTGATCCTGCTTCCTGCTGAGCGGCACAGTAAATGGGCTCAGAAGGGTTGGTGCGAAACCTGAGCCCCACTGCCGGAGGCACAGCATATCCAAAAAGTGTGGACATCATTCCCTGGGACCCCTAAGTCTCACGCCGAACCAGAGTCAAGGAAGGTTCTGGGATGGGTCCCAGCAGCCCTGAACCCCTGCCTGGTGCTCCGGGGATTTGTTTGGGGGTGAGCTGCTCTGAAGGCCAGCTGCACTTTTTGTCCCTAGCCCACTTCCTCTTGGAAGTGAACTCTCTGCAGCCCCCTTCCCTGTTTCCCTTTGATTTGGGGCTCTCATGCCCAACAGTGGACAGATTAGGGAGAAATGTGGCCTGGGTCCTGGGGGAGGGACAGATGTGGGGAGGACCAGGGAAGGAGATCAGAGAAGATACCAGACTCCCAGGGGAACCTACAGCCCCGACCCCGCACGGTGTATTGGGAGGCCAGGGAATGGGAAAGATGGCCTTGGGAAGTTTCTGGAGATCAGAAGGGCCTGCTGGCCTTAAAATAGTTCAATAAACCCAACTGGCAACCCAACCAGCCTGGCGATGCCACAATGGGCAGTGCCCTGGTGTGTGGAGTCCAGTGCAGTGCAGGGGTGGGGGCAGGGCAGGGAGTGAGCAGGGCCTCAGTCCACAGAGGAGACTTTCTGGGATGTGAGGGATCAGACGGACACAGGGGATGGGGAAGCAGGAAATGCCCCTCACTGGTTGGAAGCCCAGACACAAAGGCTGATGGCCCAGAGAGGTGGAGAAAGTCTGTGGGGTTGGGGTGTCTGCAGAGCCAGGGACAGTTTTTATCAGCGCAGGAGGGGGTGATGGTAGCTCTTTTGCAGGAGGACCCAGGGTGCTGCTTCCCAGACCCTCCTGGCATCTGGACTGATGCGCCCCGGGAGCTGGAGTAGCAGAAGAGCTTTGGAGGCTTGCTGGCTCTTCCAGCTCAGAGGTGACTCACCATCCCCCGCAAGGCCCACAGGGCCACCACAGACATTCCAGGCCAGTCTCCGAAGCCAAGCCAAGGTGATCCAGAGGGCTGGCTGCAGCCTCCCTGCCGTGGACTCTGCTTTAGAAGTTCACTTGCTCTTCGAGCTCACCGGCTGACTCAGAAAGCAGACATCCCTCTCAGAGCTCACTTACACCAGGTGGCAGATTTTATTCTTCTCCTGAAGAGGAGACAAGAGGTGACTGGAACCCTGACAAACTCTGCTGAGTCATCTGGTCTCTCCTGAATCCTAGAAGGACCACCTCCATCTTTCCTCCCCAGTCACATCGCAAACAGGGGTACTCCCAGACATTTTTACCCACTCAGCCTCCAGTACCACTCTGGTCAAGAGAGATACTTTCCAGAACGATCTTAAAGAAAGTATGTATTGGGTGGGCCAAAAGTTTCATTCAGTTTTTTCCATAAGATGGCTCTAGTAGTGCTTAGTTGTCTTTAACTTCATTCAAAACAATTTTGTTAGATTTTATGTGACAGCTGTCATATCAGCGTGCTTTTAAAAAAAGACATCAAAATTGGTGAATTTTTGTGTAGCCATTTTTGTGTGAAGAAAAAAGCAACATTTTTGGCATATCGTGCTTTATTATTTCAAGAAAGGTAAAAATGCAACTGAAATGCAAAAAAAGATTTGTGCAGTGCATGGAGAAGGCGCTGTGAGTGATCGAAAGTGTCACAAGTGGTTTGTGAAGTTTCATGCTGGAGATTTTCCGTTGGATGAGGCTCCACGGTCAGGTAGACCAGTTGAAGTTGACAGCAATCAAATCGAGACATTAACTGAGAACAATCAATGCTATACCACGCGGGAGATAGCCGACATACTCAAAATATCGAAATCAAGTGTTGAAAATCATTTGCACCGCCTTGGTTAGGTTAATCACTTTGATGTTTGGGTTCCACATAAGTTAAGTGAAAAAAAACCTTCTTGACCCTATTTCTGCATGCAATTCTTTACTTAAACGTAAGGAAAACGTTCCGTTTTTAAAACAAATTGTGATGGGTGATGAAAAGTGGATACTGTACAATAATGTGGAATGGAAGAAATGGTGGGGCAAGCGAAATGAACCACCACCGACCACACCAAAGGCCGGTCTTCATCCAAAGGAGGTGATGTTGTGTATATGGTGGGATTGGAACGGAGTCCTCTATTATGAGCTCTTTCTGGAAAACCAAGCAATTAATTCCAACAAGCACTGCTCCCAATTAGACCAACTGAAAGCAGCACTCGACGAAAAGCATCCGGAATTAGTCAACAGAAAACGCAGAATCTTCCATCAGGATAACGGAAACTGCATGTTTCTTTGATGATCAGGCAAAAACTGTTACAGCTTGACTGGGAAGTTCTGATTCATCCGTCATATACACCAGACTTTGCGCCTTCAGATTTCCATTTATTTAGGTCTTTACAAAATTCTCTTAATGAAAAAAAATTCAGTTCCCTGGAAGACTGTAAAAGGCACCTGGAACTGTTCTCTGCTCAAAAAGATAAAGTTTTGGGAAGACGGAATTATGAAGCTGCCTGAAAAATGGCAAAAGGTAGTGGAACAAAAGGGTGAATACGTTGTTCAATAAAGTTCTTGGTGAAAATGAAAAATGTGTCTTTTATTTTTACTTAAAAAACCAAAGGCACTTTTTGGCCAACCTAATACTACCTACAGCCTCTCTTGACCACCTGCTACAGGGGATCGGTTTGGAAGTCCCCTCTCAGTTTTAACCCCAGTCCCTCTTGCTGTTTTCAA